GGGGGGAACAGAAGAGTGATTCATAGATGTAAAAGAGACAAACAAAAAGGTAGAGAAAAAGGTAAGGTGCGATGAATAGTGTGGAAGTGGTCGAATATGGCATATAGTCAGGTCGTAACAATTTGAAGTCAAAGTTAACTGCCGGTTTATAGACTTTTTTACCATATGAGTATACGTTTCCCAGGGTGCCCCCCCCCTTTAAAAATATAAGTTCCGCTCAATTCACCAAGTCCCCCTTATAAGCTCTCAAGACCCCACAGAACAACTGAATTATAGGGGTATAAATCCTGAAACGAAGGACAAAATCGATCCATTTGTGCTAAAATTCGAATTTCTTTCCGTTGTGCCGCCCCTTTATACAAGGTAAGTGCAATAGGATGATTTCTAAATTGACTTTGGGGTTATTTTTTCACAATGAGCATAAACAGATGGATCAGGTCAATAATCGAATACCAACTCACTGTCTACCAATTGGGGGAATTTCATGTTGACATTAAAATTTTTACCTCATTGGCCGACCTCAATCTATTCACTATTTAGTTATTAACTAGTTCCCAAAACCGCGTTTTCGGGTACTCAAGTGCTTGCTAAAACTGTAGATTTGTTGATGATGGTAATTTAGCGGTTCTTAATTAGCCATCCAAGGCTTTTAAATCTGGTGGATTGTTGTAGGGTGGGCATCTAGGCTGGCCAAATGAAGCTACATTTGGGAGCTTCAACAAATCTCTTAACTCTCTAATCTTCCTAAATAAATAAATAAATAAATAGTTAATTGAAAAGACAAAAAATCTGGTACGAAAAAATATAATATAACTTTTACAGGTGGAAGGAAAGGGGATGTGTTCATGAGTGACCAAGAAGTTATTATTGACAGTATATTTATAACAACAATAGATGGCAACTGTTACTGTAAACATAAGGAGGGGGGAGGGGGGGGGGAGCAGATGAAGTATAAGACATAGTTGATAGGCATGGGAGAGGGAGACAAAGGATCCGCAATATCATTTCTTTTTCTCCAAGAACATGCGGCCCTAGATACACAATATGGTAGCCGGTAGTAGAAGCATTACATTCACATGGTATGGCAGCATAGGAAAGGTTTACGCCTTTGCTCTCCATTAACTGAATTCAGGGTCTCCGTGGATACAAATTTCGAGGATGGAGTTACACTATTCATGTTCGATCTGGGAATCTCATTCTGTGGTGGTTGTGGAAGGGGGCCTTGACGGAGAACAGAATGGTTTAAAGGAGGCAACTGTGCAGCCGCTGTGGTGTTGGACCTGGGACCTTTGGGAGAACCATAATGGTTTGGAGAACCCATAGATGCATCCGAGCGCCCGGGTGTTCTACTTCGGTTGTCACGCGAAGGGGGTGTAGGTCGAGATCGTTGACTTAGCGGTGAACGAACTAAGTCGTTGTTATTGGTTGTGTTGACAATGGGAACCATTTGGCCATTGGAATTCCGTTGCATGGGACGAACGTAGTTGGAACGAGAGGAATCACTGGATTCTGAATCTGGGGTTTCTGTGGTGGAAGAGGAAGTGGAAGATGAATTGGAAGCTGAAGAATTGGATGTTACGGTGCTGCTATCAGTGGGAGTGGAAGGTGAAGAGATTTTGGTGCGTTGGCCGTTCGTTGATGCCGAGGTGGATGTGTTCATGGATTGTGGTGAAGCCACAAAGCCGTTTCCTGACCTCACGGGCTGAAAGAATAAAGGAAAAGCAAAACATGATAAGGCCAAAGTAAAATTCACTAACACCAAAACTGCAAAACCCCAACGAATCCCAACAAAATGTCGAGAGTTTTGACACCACCAAATCTTTAAATTAGTATGATTTTGAACAGCGCCAACCCCTATCTATCACATTACCAACGGTGATCCAATATATCTTTCGCTTTGAAAATCTAAATTCGATTAGAAAAGTTTACAATTCATGACTTCATTGTTCTATTACAGGAAAAACTTGAGAATAATTGATTTCTTCTTGTCTATGAATACAACCTGTTTGTCTATTTAAAAAGTTGTAGATGAAAATACATTGATCCGTAAATAACTTAATGGAAATTCAAGCTTTCTCTCTCCATAGAATGGCAAATATTAAACCAATGATAGTATTCCAGGTAGAGGCACGATGTATGAGAGACTTTAAAAATAGTATTCAAGCAAAGGCGGCAAACAAAACATTACCCGAGTGTTTCGAGGTGGAACACTAGGAACTGTAGTGCTACTATCATTTCCCCTCCGTGTCATTGTTGACCCGATTCCATTCACCTCAGGTGTCCGTTTGGAGTCTGAACCACTGGTTGAGGACTTCTGTCCATCCAAAGTATAACTACTGTTGTTGTTATTTGCGGTATTCGCATTTACATTGGGAGACTTTGGCGAGGAAGGTGTGGCTGCTGAGTTGCTGGAAACTCTCTCCGTCGATTCTCCATTTTCCTTGCTCGCCACCGCACTGGCCAACTGACGTTCCTTCTCTGCATCCGCCAGGGTCATTCGACGCTTTTCACGCATCGATGTTCGCATGATGGAGGTATTGCTATACAGAGTGAACGCAAATCAATTATTAACTATTCAATTACCCGAACCGCGCCCACTAAGATATAAAAATTTCCTGATCTACAATTAATTAAATACGGGTGAGAGAAACCGGTTCACTACTACCTTGAAGTTTTAATATCATTTAATACAATTAGTTAAACACAGAGTCCTAGAATCGGTAAGTGTCAACAAGGAGATGGTTGTGAAGTGTTCTTTTGTATGATAGGAAACGGGCGTGCTAATGAGTGCCATTACACAGCCATAGCATGCTCCTGTGCTTATTCATAGACGTAGTCAAGTTGTTCCAGAATTGTAAATTGGAAACGACATCAACTTGACAATCAACTGTAACAACAGTTATGACGACCTTGAATAGAACGAGGAAGATGTCAGGACCTTGAAGGAAAGAGGTGCTACCCATTGATAGACAGCCACACTCAATGCCTTGACCATTTTGCATTCACCTAACACTTATTTAGGCTATCGTAGGCTCTTAACCCCCCCCCCCCCCCCCCCCCCCCCCTCCCCACATTCTCCCATTCATAATGATATCGGACTAAACCCAACTTTGATGTCTGAAGCAACTCCTATTAAACCACTTCCCAAGACCATTAAAAGAAGTGGTAAAAACGATTAACTTAGGCCGTTGTTTGATTTTCCTAAATCATTCTGATGAGGAAATTGCATTCTACAAGCCTTCTTGGTAATAAGAATTGGCCATTGCGATCGACCGATCGTATCACTTCGTATGTGCACTGTTGAGCATCAGTTGAGTGACTTTCAATTCGGAAGATGTAAGCGCTGACCACCACCAGCACACACAAACACACAGAGATGGAAAGGGTTTTCCAATACCTGAAGTTTCGAATTTAGAAGCTGCTTCGCACTTTCGCTGTTTAACAGAGTGATCAAGTATAGCACCGATGAATGAAAAACTATGTTTTGTAGTGAGCCAACGCCCGATTCTTTAAGTTGGATCAATTTGGGATACTTGCCCCCTCCCTCTATCAACCTTGTGGTCTGTGAGATGCGAGTTTTTGAGAATACATGCAAATAAAAATCAATAACCGGGGCAGCTATCATCTAGGTTTTGAAAATGTTGAGCTTTAAACAAAGTAGGCGTCTTATACAGAGAGGTAACATGGATTATGCTGAACTGTAGGTTTCGTGATCAAATCGCAAAAATAATAATTTCATAATACTGATGACCGAATCCTGCCTTTGATACGGCAATTTTATATGATACGTTTGAAGGAAGTTGTTAGGTTCTGGGTAAGTTATTCATTCGCCTTAATCGCAGACAAAATAGAAAATCACAAGACAAGTACTTGATTAAAATTATACTTGTCTGAAAGTTCTTTGACTACTTAACTACACACGGTCAAGACATGTGACCCAAATTTAGAGGTCACGCCAATACCTGACAAAGTCCGGCCATTACACATAAACGCATACGCGGCGACATGTTAAGTCAATGAAACAATAATCGCGAGGGCTCATATTTAATTCATTATTGCTTCATTCATTAATTTGAACACTTTTTTGTTGATTGAAACAAGTCTTGACGGATCTCTGTATTAATTGAAATGCCCTTTTTATAACCTCATTTATCTACCAATGAACCGAGGTGACATGACAGAACATTAAGCTAATTCCAACGCTCCCACTAGGTTAAAGAGGAACTCAATAATGAAAAATGAGATTTGAGAACAACACACTCTGGGATTAAATAGACCATTCGCTGCTACTGGAAATCAAATAAACAAGACGATGAACCTCGCTTACTTGACCCCTGTTTCATACCTTGTTAGCACATGAGTAGACTTGAAAAAAAGATTTTCCATTGCCACGAGCGTAATTAATAGTATTGAAACAATACAAAATTAATTTTACTCCCGACTCAATTTAAGCACGAAGTTGGGTATTCGATTAATTAAATCGAATTAATTAAAGCACTGACATACAAGGGAGCTACATTTTGTGCAATAAACGGAAATGTTCACACGAATGTAGTACATTTCACTCCATTTTTAAATAGACTTAACTTAAAAATCTAATAAAACGGGAATGAGTCAATCACTAGTATCGCCAACAGGAAATCTGATTAACACCATAAAGGAGGTTAAAACTACTGAAATAGAAAATTTTACCACGAGTAGTATACGTACGACTTACCTTTTTCTTCGAGAGGAACCGAAGCCCCTGACGAAGTTGGAGTTACCATTATTGTTCATGGAAAGGGTGGTCTTTTTCACCGCGCTCCGCAAATCCTCTCGTCTGTCCCAAACCTCCTTTAGACGCATCTGCAATTCCTTAGAGTCGCAGATATCTACATGTGCAGATGAAGTGGAAAATGAAGAAAGATAATACGAAGAAGAATTCGACTGCTATCGGCTCATAAAATGAGTGAGCGGAACTACCAACTCCAACAATGACGTTCTACTGAAGTGCAGGGTGTTTGCACAAAATTGACAACCTCATCCAAGTAAAGAAGCAGTGACTGGGAAGCATAGAATTTAAGAGATTTGAAAAAGTTCACTGATTTCAACGAGTTCAACACAAGAGGATCGCAATAATCGTCTTTTAGAACACCGACCCGGCTCCAGACCCTGATCCAATCTGGTTATACATTCCCCTTAGCAAGGGTCACAGAAACCGCTTTACCTATAACCAGTAAATGGGTTTCTGAAGTAGAGGCAAGCCGAAAAGTGCCATTCATAACAGCGATCAAAATAAATGGAGAGCGTATCAATCAGCATACATACACTGAGACTGGAGTAGTTGTAAATTTGGACTCCAACCATTGTTGGCTTTTCCATGATATGAGCTAGGGGACTAAAACCCCTCTACCGCAATACATATGGCCTATTATTGCTTCCTCTCATTCATTATCCTGAACAACCAGCGGAGGGAGGTATCACACCCCATAATAATACCCACAACGGAGGAGGATACACGTTTGATAGCCATGACAGTCTGGGGAACTTTAGTCTAAGTGACACGAGTGGCGTCCTTTGGTCTGGATTCAAGCCAAGTCATCTCTTATTCTCCCCTCTGTGTCATTCATCTTAGCAATTTCTAAAAGGCCTAGATTGTGAGTGTGTGTGTGTGTGTGTGTACTTCGATGGGAGTTACACATTGTTTAGAAGATGCATTAGAAGATGAAAACTTTGATGTTTACATGAGATGGTAGTAGCAAAGGTCTTTTTATTGAGTGCAACCCTAATGAGAGAGGATGAAACATTCGACAAGCTGTGTCGACAAAGTCCGATCTGCGATTTCGAGGCCCTCTAACATTTTCACCTCCTTCAAAATTCTTCGAAAATCTGCTGTGGGAGCGCAATCAGACCAGATCTTTTGTTAAGCCACTTTCTTCTTGCAACAGAAGCCTTGGCGTCTCCATTGCAATTCTCCACTTCATGACACATGCTTTTCACAGGGCTGATGAAGCAAGGAGCAGCTACCGTACTCTCCTTATTTTACTGGCCAGCATGGATCATCATTATGATACAAGTTATTCTCCTTCATGTTACAACTCTACTTAAGATGAGTTCTTGAAAGCGGTTTGGTTAGTAGACGTTGGCGTAAATGAACTTGTTCCTTACCCAAGTTTAAGTTTGATCTTAATTCGGTTGTCGATCCCCCACCCCTCTTTCCAGCGTACTGTATATGGAACTTCAAATCGTCTGCTCTCTCCATTTTCCTTCAATTTGCTTACCCTCTTCCAACAAGTCACTTATTCAGCTTATTGAAGCCTTTTCTCCCATATCTCCATTAAAGTTCCTATCTTGATGCTATGAAGTTTGTATTGACTTGAAAGATGAATACATCGAAATTTTTAATTCAACAATAGGGAACCCTAAACCATAGGCCACGCCAGTAAAGCTTGAATATTAAAGAATCTCAATTAAGCTCTACTGAGCATCATTTCTTTATACATCCGCTATTGATTGGAACAATATTCAGTTAAAATGAAGTGATAGGACTAAACAAGGTAATAAATCAGCCGGTCAAAACGCTCTTAAAACTGGAACATTAGAACATAACACAACAAAAATTTAGGAGAATTCCTGATGCCACCAACTTTATCTTCACGCATTGCCCCTCCCCCCCCCCCACTCGAGTTTCTTATCTTATAAGAACCCGTTTACTCTCCCCACCCCCAAAACATATGCTTTCTCACGAATAAAATTCGTATTGCAGTAGACAATAATAAAAAAAGTTGTTAATTAATTAAATAATTGACCTACCAAAAACTGTTTGACCATTCTTTGTGGTAGCGTTCAAATCAGCTCCATAGGCCACTAGGGTCTCGATAACTTCCAGCTGAACAAAAAAACAAGCAAAACATTACATTAAAATAGTAAAAGGAATACATAAAAAAGGTAAGATGAAATATGGGCTACTTTTGCCAACCAGAAGAGGAAAATGACCTTGTAATAAAAATTGATTGTTCAACAGATTTGGGGGCCAATTGGAACTTTCTAATAATGAGCTCCACGGGGAATCTTGTCACCTTATCGAGTTAAGGGCTTTTAATTGAGGCAATATGATGCAATATCGTTACTAAATCTAATCTATTAATAGCAAATAGACAGAAGAAGAAAAGAGTTTACTTTACAAGATTCTCATTTGATGACTTCAATAGAGCAAGGAGGTAAATCGAAAAGTGATATTACCGTATTGTAAACGTGCTTCAGACATGCCAATCCAGAGCCTACACACATAAATAAGGCCTTTCAATTCTGTCACAGTACTTAAAAAAAATCAAATTTTTATTTCACTAACATTGTAAGGGCTTCAATGTGAGGATAAATTTGTAATCAATAAATCCCCAAATCCATAAGATACTGCGAGAAATACGCGGGAATCTTGGAATTTAGAGGAAATTTGTTAAACTATGCTCACTCACACGAGTTATTCTGCCGAAGTGTGACTTAATAAATATCACACAAACATTGGGCCTAGTGTGCGCAGAGTGAGTAAAAAGGGCGTTTCAAGCACCTTCCAGCAATGTAAAAGTTTGGGAGTGTGAAGAATTATCACCCCCCACTATAGACTATCTAGAAGGAGGTAATGGAATTGAAAGGGGGTGTGCGATAGACTTACCTCCACGTGGTGCACCCTGGGCAACGTATACTCATACGGCAAAAAAAGTCTATTAACCGGCAGCTGACTTTTCACTTCAAACAACCATCATCCACACTGTATGACATATTCGACCCCTACACAATACTCATCTTACCCTATCTGAGCCTTTCTGTCTCTTTTACATCTGCGAATCGCTCTTCTCTTCCCCACCCTTCGACTTTCTGCTACTTTGATGAACCTTCCCTCTGTGAAGCCCGAAGTCAGCTAAATGGATAATGATATCTATCAAAACGCCTGCCATTTGAAATAAATAAATGGAATTGAAAGGTGACGACAGAGTACGGAAGTGGATGATTTTGAGAATTGGGCAATACTTCACTTTGTTTGTTGGAGAAATAGACCCCCCCCCCACCCCAGAGCTTAACTTCTTAGTGTTTTGAACACAAAAAATTCAACAATTAACTAGTTAACTTTATAATCCATAATGATTTCCACTTGGCTAATAACTTTGAACATACCTAGACCCTCAACCCCAACCACCGCTACCTGTGTCCCATACATCATAGCCGATATTGCCCCAACTAAAACCACCCATTTAAACAAGCAAAAAAGTGAATTGAATTGGGAACGATGCATGTCGTTTTAATGGTGTGCGTGCAAATTATAATTGCATTAGAAACAATAAAAGGAGGTTGGTGGGGGGGGGGGGGGGGAGAAGGAGGATGATTTATATCCAAATGAAAGAAATAAAATTTCAGGCTTTTATCTTTCTTTTTAAAAAATGAGGGAGGTGAGAAAACGTTCGGGGTAAATTAAAGGAGAGAAAAGTCTAGAGTTGAGAAATTTACTATATGACTAACAATGAAAACAATAATACATATTCACAGACTTTTCATTCTCCATTGTTCAACGCATAGATAACACGCACTTCACCATTACGATGTCGCAAATTGGCACCCACTGATTATGGAAACGAATAAAAATTCAAAGAATGAACCAATAAACGGGTAATGGAAGTGGATTGAGTGGAATCAGGTCAACAAATTCTGGGCAACACAAACGTCTTAATACGAGGTGACTTGGATAAGATATGCTCCAGATCTTTCATAAGCAGTTCCGAAACGGTAAAATTTGACTCTTTACTTCTTAAGGAATGAGAATAGTTATTTGCGTTATATAAAACTTTATAATTATATATCTGCAATGCCCAAGAGTTAATGGATACTTAACCGAACCAACTAGATAAATTTGTCAAAAAAGAAAACATCTACCTTAAATTGGCTCAGATGTTAATTAAGTAGTGAATAGAGCGATTTAGGGGAACGCTAATTTCTCCTTAGAGTGAGACAAATGTTAATCTAATTTGATGGCTCTTATTTTGGATTGAATGATGCAGCACTCACATCTTCACAAGTTAGCTGATAGCAAAATAAGAATTTCTGTTGAAGTTGTCGGTTGTTTGTTGTGAACATGAATAGAAAAAACTTTTTTTTCGACTTTTAAATATCACTCTAGGTGAAAGCATTTTGAAATTATGACTATTCACAAATCATTTATGAGGCAACAATAACGTAACCGATTTCTTTTCAATAGTAAATTAGCAAATAGCAAGCGTACTCTAACATGTGAGAATGTAATAATTGCATCAATAATTATTGATGTTATCAAATAGTCTAATTTCTCCATTTAACAGGCTATTACCATCCTAAGGAGCCTGACTAAACATGCTTATTGATTATTACCATAAGCTAATCGAATTCTCCCATGTCCTGTAATTAGATACCATGACTTATGCAAATAAGGGAAAACTGCAAATTTAGCTAGAAAGGATAACACTTCCACGTTTTTCACAAAAAAAAAACACCTACAAAATATTTTCCATTGTCAATTAGCTCTGGATATAGGCATCTGCTGAAACCCTTTTAAACACAAACCCTCCCCATTAGGGAATTCAGGAGCCAGGTGGCCATTCATGTAAAATTCTTATTACCAGGTGCCTTACTATAACTAACTCAAATCTGAAGGCAAAAATTAGTGTCGATAGGAGAGTGTCATTCAGTCATTTGTATGGTAAAAGAAACAATCAACCAATCCTCAGATCGACTAGAAGTGATCAAAGCGATCGGCCAACAACATCAATATGTGTCTACTGATGAGAATAATCATCATCACCATCAATTCAAGATCACTCTAATCCCTAATTTGGCAAGCATGGATCCTAAACTTTTAGCAATTGAGTTCTCTTCTCCTAGTTTCTAAGCCGCACTGTCATGATTTAATTACCACCTGGTTAGGTTGGTCACACACAGTTCGTTCGACACGTATCAAGGAGTATTGAACTGAACCAGAACGTTTGTCAATAAGATGCTGATGTCTTTGCAAGGCTTGTCTACGCTGCATCTCCTCATCACAGCGGCACGCAAGAGTAGTGGCATGCAGATTAAACCTACAGTCGATTTAGGTATGCCGTGATTAAATTCCCTCCGTAAAGATATCAAGCAGAATAACGCAGAGAAGTAGAAATGTCTAAGACCTAATGTTAGGCTTAAAACCGTATCTAAGCGGTTAAACTGGCCAACTAGCTGTAAATGCCAGATTTGCATCTCCTATTCTAATGGAACTTCGAAATTCTCCAGAGATTATATACCAAAGAACTGGTGCACTGAGCTACAAGAGGATGCACTTGAGAAATCTACTTCATTGAAATGAACAGTGAATTAATAGATGAAGAGATCACCGAATTCAAAAGTGCTCGATGCGAAAGTAACTTCTCCCATATTCACCAATATATCTGAATGCCAAACGCGGTTAACAAATTGACTATCAGATGAATTACTGAAGCACAACCACTGTTAAGATATCATGGCCTATTCAAATTAGGCACCCCAAGACAATGGGAATAGATAACTCTCGATATTAAAATAGTCCATTAACCGGAAAATTAATGTAAATAAAAGCAACAAAAAAAATTTGAGCATGTAATGAGGAGGGAGCATACATGACCCCACGAAACGGCGATGTGTATAGGGAGCCAGCCATCTTGATCTGGTAGTTGGGAGTCCAAACCCAATTGGAGTAAGTATCGTATCACCTCTACGTAGCCACAAGCAGCGGCGATGTGGATCTAAAAAGAGGAAAAGTCAACATAACAATGGAATTGACTTAAAATAATTCTACTTCATGGAGCTTGAGGTGTGTGAGAGACTTACCTCCTCGTGGTGCACCCCGGGCAACGTATACCCATACGGCAAAAAAGTCTATTAACCGGCAGTTAACTTCCCACTTCAAACTACCGTCACCCCACTGTATGCCATATCCGACCTCTGCTCACAGTACTCACCTTACCTTTACTTTGCCTTTGTATCTCTCTGTCTCTTTCACATCTGTGAAGCATTATTCTGTCCCCCCTCTCGACATTTCGCCACTTTGATGTTCCTCCTCCTATCTGTGAAGCCCGAAGTTAGCTAAAGGGCTAATGATAATTATCAAACCGCCTGACATTTGAAGTAAATAAATAAACTTCATACAGGCTATGTTAAAAGAGATCCACCTTTAAAGAGAAACTACAGAATTCAATCAATTAAACTCGAAACTAGAGGCAGTGCAACTACTATTGTGTACATACACAATGGAGTATGGAACAATAAGATTTAATGTCGAACGCGTCGGTCGAGCACTAGTGTCGAATAGAGTAACATCAAGAAAGCAGAGGCATATTCGTCATATTAACAATGCTACTTGAATATTTCTGACCAAAACAAAAGGCTAACATAATTTGATGATATCAAGAGGGAACACACGAGTCACCCATAAAATCTCTATTGGGTGCGCGTAGTGGTCAACGTAAACGTCTGCTCAACTGGAGGTCATAGGATTCAGCCTCATCTTTCTATATTTAACGATGCGGATGTGTGTGTGGAGGGACGGTGAAACAAGAGCTGCTGAATATCCTCCATCTACACAAACCAGGCATAAAAATGGATTCAGAGGAAGGTGGAGAAAAGAGGTGATTTAACAAAGTGTAAATGTGACGCAATGATTAAAGTTAGGAGGATTGTTGCCCATCAGTAGGGAAGAGTTATTATAGATGGCCAACTATATCGGTTAATTCCGGTCATAAGGGGAGAAGGTGTTGAGTTTCTTATCGGAATGCCTTCGATCTATCCAAATCAAGTGTTAGGAAAACTGCTAGTAACCATGGAAAGCTTATGACAAGACACTCCTCCAAGAGGCTCAATAGTAAGTCGAGTGCAATGACTTACTGGAGCAGCTCCTTGTGCATCAAGGGATTGAAGACCGTCACCGGCTGCATAGCGACGTTTGAGATCAGTCAGCATCTCCCTCTCCGGTCCGAGACGAATTTCGTCAATCTGGCTCTGTGTTACATCTAAAAGAAAAAACAAATATCAACACTAGTCGACGTTGGACTTACAATTGGACAAAGCTTTAAAAATAGCGCTCATCTCCATGTGAACTTCTGAGTAAAATAAATTAGAACCACTCAAGAATTTTCACCCCTTACATAAGACTCCTTCGTTAAATGAACTGCTATAAAATGTACTTGCGAAAGGTAGACGAAGGAAAAGAATTAAGCAATTTTGAAGGGAATTCCGCAAGTAGGCGGTAGACTTCTATTTCGATTTGATAATAATTTCATTAAAAAAATATCTTGACTATCTGAAAGAGCCAAAGAGCTAAGTGCACAAAGTTTGATTTTCAAACACGGCAGAAATTAGACTGTAACCAATGAAGCATAAACACTACAACACTGATAGCTACTGAAAAGATCCGTTTCTCCGTAAAGTGTGAGTAGGTTGTACGACAATTACCGGCGGACAGTTACTTGGTCCCGTATTCATCGGTAACTGACGACTCATTTATATTCTTTCACACGATTCTCCAATAAGTAGGTCAGAAGTACGCTTAGTAGTTCCATCTTGGCTTGTAAGAGAATGACAGAGGTGGTGAAAAGGTGAGACCATTTTACACTAAATCTATAAGCACAATAATGTTGTCTTCTTGGCGGGCAGTGTATGTGGGTTCGATTATCTCGGGCTTTACCATTAGCAGTTTCATATTGTCGACATTCGAGTAAAAATCGACACGTAATAAGCGACAAATTGACCGAGAGAGTGGTAGTGAAATTTAAACTGTACATCAAAGTGTCCATGGTACTATTTCGATGACTATGATAAATGCCTGAAACCACATGCCTTCAACAAGGAATTTCACCGCTTGTATGTCATTGAAGCAGCAGCAATTCAAGGTCGTGAATTCTATGCACACTGATGTGCGGATGACTGATCACATTGGGTAAAACACGCTAATACAGGAGTGGCATGGGAACTTTTCATTGAAGTGGTCCTAAGGTTCTAATTCTCTATTCCGAATATGCGCCGAAAGCTTTCTCACCATCAATGCACTTGAGAAGTTCTTTACTTTAACAGTAAGGCAGCGGTTAGTGTGCACGTAAAGTAATATATCATGAATTCGATATTCAATTACAGGGTGTGCACGGTAGACTTACAACCACGTGGTGCTCCCTGGGCAATATACACCCACCCATACGGCAAATCAATCTATAAACTGACAGTTGATTTCAAACTAATATAACCCAACTGTATGTCATATTCCCCCACTTAAACAGTGCACACCTTACCCCCTTCTCTATCCTTGTGACTGTCTCTTGCATCTTTGAAACACTTTTCCATTCTCCTCTCGACTTTTTGTGACTTTGACGTTCATCCTCTCTCTGTGAAGCCCCGAAGTCAACTAAAGGGCTAATGTTAACTATCATAAAGCCTGGCATTTGATATAAATATTTAATTACGCTAGTGAAAGACACGACCAACTGACCCGTTTAGACGGGCCAGAAGAGGGAAATCATCGAATGGACTGCTTCATGTCAGAAATGGAAGGGAGGAGGGGGGGGGGGGGGGGGGGGG